CTGGTGAAAATTTCATGTCATTAGCACCTCTAGTAATATATTTACTGAGAAAAATGGTGACGTGTTCAATACTTATTTTACCCACTGTATGTCTCGCATGTCTCCACAATACTTAGTGGTAGGGGTCGTCTGTAGAGTGGGAGCTTGAATGCAGATTGAGCTCCAGGGAGGAGCTTTGTGTAAATAGGCGGAGTTTTGTACCACCAAATGTTTGGTCAGCTCCACATGGCAATGACAGGAGATTCAAGAATTTTTTTCAAACACGCATGAATGAGTCAAAGCAACACCTGGTGTGCTTTTGATGAGGGAATGGCATAATAGCATGATACAAAACTCGAAGTACATTTTGTATAACCCCCACCCCCGTTAATATGCTTTACACCAGGGGTCACCAGTATTGTGCCCGCAAAGATTTTCTGAGTTGCCCGCAGGACACATTCTTAAAATAGCACTTATCGACTGACCATCATTAAAGCAGCGCACCAAATGCTAAACAAATGTAACCAAAAGTTACCCGTGTGCTCTTTGGAACTTTTATTAACAAAACACTTTCTAAAGAATGTCAACAAGAGCTGCTGTTAAAGCCACATCTCCCGTTAAACACAACAAACGCTCAACAAGTTCTCTCCTGCATCTCTCTCCGAGCCCATCTATCCTGCTGACCGCAGCTCCTCACAGGCACACACTTAACTCCACCCCCAACCTAGGCCTTTCACGATAACAAATTTTGCTGGGCGATAAATTGTCTCAAAAATTATTGCGATAAACGATAATATTGCCTGGTGACCATTTTACAACTAATAATTATAAAAGCGTAATATGTAAGTGTAATAAATCAATAAACTATCATTTTTAAAAGAATGTTTAACAAAGTGGACTCTCAATCTCTAACAAAAAATGCACTTGAATAAAAAACAAAGAACAACAAAATGTAAATTAAACACCACACATGACTGAAGAGCTCGACACACGGGAGGCGACTTCGCTCGCTCTCCATTCATTTCCTATGGAGCCTGTGCGGTGAAGTGACAATCGCTCACCCTCCTCCAGCTAAGCGACCGGCGAAAATAGTGCATGTGAAATTTCACGCTCGTACACGTAGACGTGCACACGCGAGCTTGCGACGC